ATTCGATTTCATCCTTCATTGGTCTAGCTTTGTTACTTCTGCTTTGAAGAGTTTGTTCAAGGTTTGTTGATCCGGTTGTCTAACTTCTGGATAGGGTTGGTTTCAAGTTGTTGATATACATTTTCTTCTTTGAGTAACTCCTCTGCTTTCTTGATGTAGTCTTCTTTGTCCACGACTACTGTAGCGCGTCCTTTGTCTGTTGGTAGTTTAACGATATCTTTCCTATTTTCTCAGCCTTTTTAATGTTTTCTGTTCATGAGTGTTCGTTTGAGCGTGATGTCTCTTCTGCCTGGTCAGTGGTACGATTGTTTGCCGAATTTCTTGTTGGGCGACCTCTTTTAATCCTGACATTTTAAGTGACGTTTCTAATGCCGCAAAGAATTCTGTTTTCGAAGCATCTCTCGTGTTGTAATTCAATCCTTTTTGAAGAAGTCCTTCCATTTTTGCAAGTGGTTTTTTATAAGTTGGCAACACAGTAGTTTGTTTCCTCGGTTGTAGCTGCTTCAGAGATTCTGAGCAGCTTTTTCCTGAGGATGTTTCTGCGTTGTTCTTTGCATTATCTGCTTGATTTTTCAATTTCAGTCGTCAGCGTTGTAATGTGTTGTGTCGTGAGTGTACTTTCTAGTTTTGTCTTTCGATTGTTAGTCATTGGTTAGTATTTCCAGATCCGATGATGTGCATCTGTGATCAACAATTGTACCATTTGTCTTCCACTTTGTTCAGCTATTTTCCATCCCATTGGACAGTTAATCGGTGATCTATGCCTGACACTTTTCGGCAGAATATGCTGACATAGGCACTCATGGAGAAAGAAAAGTTGTTCGTTTGTGGAAGCTTGCCTTTTGAAGACGTCCTCCCATCTTCGACCAAAGTGAAGCATGTTACGCTCGTATGATTTTTAGATAGTGGAGAATATTTGTAGCTCAGGTGGATGGTCTTGGTCGTATTGTGTTCTCCGAGCTTGGTTGTTTAATCATGAAGCTTTCGTCTTCTTTTCAGACGAAATCATCAGCAGAGGTCAGGCATAGGAACAGTCAACAGGAAAATCTATGTAGTCAATGACACAACAATCAAAGGAAACAACCAATCACAGACCACTTCGTCAAGACAAGCTACTCAATCACTCACGGAGAGATATTGACAGCTCACTTCATACTGAAGTTAGTGCTGATGAAGTCGTCCAGGAAGACAATGAAAGCTTCACGATTAAACAACCCAGCTCAGAGAACTCAATACAACCAAAAACATCCACCTGAGCTACAAATATTCTCTACTACTTCATGCCCAGTTTAATTTTGCTGTCCACCTACACTTTTTATAAAACCGACCTGGCTTTACCTGTTTTTATTGGCTATCTCAAGGATGAGAGAGGGCTAAGGAGCATAAGTTACTTTTTCGACCGAATTCAGGACGGTCTTTCGAAAGTCAAATGACTGATATTCAGATCGTGTGCAAACTAAGGTTACACCATGGGAAGCGGAATTTCACCTAAATATCAGTTGAATGGTTCACAAACTGCTCAGCGAAACGTTTACACTTTCTGTAGGAATTCATCTTTTCCGTTAATGGCATCAGTAAATATGTCTTTTGTGACCAGTATGTTTAGCAAACCTGAATACCAGCCCAAATATTCATAATGCTAATGCTCTTTTACTCATTTTGCTTGTGTCAGTTATTATTAGCATGAAAAGACCCGAGTAATGAACACTTTAAAAGACGAAATGTATACCTAAAACCACTTAATTGCAAATCGCTGTTCTCACCACTTTTCACTGTAGATTGGATGTCATATACAGGCCATGATATTCTGAAAATAGGTATTGAAAACTTGTAGACATTTAGTTCTTTCCCTCTTTATTATTTATTTTTATTTTTCAAACCTAGAAGAGAGAGGCGACAGTTTTTGAAAGTCACCTTGACTATCTTCAGGAATATACAAATTATTATCTAAACTAATTGATACATAATAGTTCGTTTTCTGATATCATCTATTATATCAGGCGAAAAGGAGGAAAATACTAATTTTAGATAAGCGTCATTGCTATAAAATGAATAATGAATATCCAGGCAGTATCAATGCATTCGCATAGGGGCCTATCTGCCGATCAAAGTTGAGCAACTCGACCCAGTGTAGCAACGGGAAATTACAAGTATGAATGAACAACTGCTTGAATTCAGTTTAGGAGAATCAGAAGCTGAAAAGTTTTTAAAATCCAGTACAATACACACAAAAATCCTTGATTATTTCATATATAAGAGAACAGCAGTCAGCATGAATGAACACATTTCATGCTGTTAGAGTTGCCATACACGAGTGAGTTTTAAACCATTACAATCACTATGTAATGCATACTACTATGTAATTGGCTTTCATGTGTGTGATTTGTATCTAAACTTTAATGGTTAATTCGTTTGCATCATTTGATGGATTTAAGTACTGACCAATCTTTATTCTTTAAGAACTCAAATCCAAATTTTTTTTCCGTTAAAAATGACATGCTTAAGGCCAGCAGTGGAATCCCCGACACGTGTTTTGTCCTATTCGGCGCTCGTCATCTAGATAAACCTGCACTACATTGAGTGATTTTGTTTCCACTGAGACTCAAACCTTTTACCCATTGCTTCAAACACCTATATACCATCAAAGGTCCATCACTTGATACACTGTAACAGCGGAAGATTAAAAAAACCAACAAACTTAATATTTACTGTTAAGTTAATATTTTTCAGTACTTTCCAATCTGTGTTTGCCTTCTAATTTTTGCGTGGAACCTTTTTAACTAAGATTAAACTTATTTCTAAAAGCCTTAAGCCAACCTAACCACTAGTTAAATTTATTACAATTTATACCAGACACTCTATTCGGTCACTGGGTAAAATTTTCATACAAACCTTTTTGTGAAGTGATTATTGATACAGAGCTAGATATTCAAGTGATACTATGGTATACTGTTTATACGAATTCACCAATCGTTTTGACTGGTCAGCATTATTTTTAATCTGATTACATCGGAAAGAATGGTAAATATTTTAATCCACAAAGATATGTAGGTTTCGTTCTATATATGTAAACCTTCTATATCGAAACATGCTAAAATAAGTAGTTAAGATGTAAAATATATAACTGACCTACTTAGATAAGTTTATGTGAATAATAGTCAATAATACATAAGAGTAAACAGATATTTTTGTAAACTTTCACGCCATATGCGTCGCTTACGCCTTTAGGTTGATATTTTTGGATTGTGTATCGTATCACTATTATTTGAAACTGGAAAGTATGTTAAAATCATTAATTTTATTTGGTTATCTACTATTTGTATATCTTCCGTTACTTATCCTCTCATAGATGTAATCTTGAAGGAAAGATTGAAATTTTTCAGTATACACTGTCGCCTCTGAAGAAAAGATGAAACACATATCTTTAGCTATTACTTGTATAAATGGTAAAAACATTTTACTGATAATCTAAAGCTTTGAAATGCGTAACAAAGATTGATAAATTTTGGTATCTAAAAACTGGTCACCAGAGTGTAATTTACGTGACTGGAAATTAGTTAGTGCACAAAATTGACTGAAATCAATTGATTTAGTTTTCAGTGTGTTCATTTACCTGAGCAATAAGACAGCTACATTGATAAGCTTCGTATAAATAATCAACTATGACATAAGCTGCATATTGACAGTCTTCGGAATCAGAAATTGAGAGATATAGATTCAAATCATCGAAGGAATATCGGTTCCAGACACGCTTAGATGATGAATACCGCTAAGTACGAAACTTAGGTTTAAAACTGCCTGCTGAGATATTTGTAACATCTAACGTCAAATTTCAGGATGTGTGTGAAAACAAGTTGAAATAATTTGAGTGTTATAATTTTTAATTTGGTCACAAATTGTCATCAGTGATGTTAAATAATTGAATATAGCATTTGCTTTACAGTTTGAAATGGTTCCCATTTACATCTGAAATTAAGCATAGACATATATCTAATTTCTTTTAAAATAATAATACAGTAGCTTGAAATCTTAAAGGGAATATCACTGTTTGATAAATTTGAGAATTTTACTACAGAAAGACTACTTGACTGATAGTAGTATGTTTAATGATTATTCTAGCAATCAGATATTTAAATAAGGTTTTATTGAACATGTTTATTTCCTAAACTACTTTAAGTTAGATTTTATCAATGGAGTAACGATCACAGTAGTATAGAAAATTCATTTAATGTTTTACTAAGTGTTAGCCTTAATCCATTCTGGTGATATGTTGTTATCTGTGATGATGACATTCAGCGCGTTATTTCAACATCACAAATTGAAAACTTTTCTACACTATTATTAAGCTTCATTTGTTTTTACCTAGTCATTTAAGAAAGAAAGTTCTCAAAATATTATCTTTCGCTTTGAAAGTTTGTAGGGATTTTACTAATTTCAAGTTGTTATTCATAATGGAGTGATATCATTTGTAGAATCACTGAAAACCTGTACTACTTGACAATCGTTTCACACTAGTATGGGACTCCTCAGGAGTGGATGCCTATCACACCGTTGAGGATCGAACCTAGAACATTCAGTTTCCGCGGCCAGGATGTTATCATTGAGCCATTGTGTTGGATTGTAACGGTTTAAAATTTTATGCTTCTGTCAGTTAGTAATATACACCGACTTTCTTCCAATACTGTCTTTGAGTACTTATTCTCACGTTCAACTTGTTTATCCTACTGGTTATGACTTTTCATTAGAATTTCAATAGATCTCATTTCGAAGCAAATCACTAATAAACATTGAAAATTGATTCATTTGGGAGTTTTGTTAAATATTTTATTGATTTCAAATTTAGCATTTATTTTACTTTTCTAACTGATGTCAATCCATGTTGAATACCAACTTATTGTCATTTTTGTTCAATATTATTCCAAAATACATATTTCAATTTGTAGTATCATAAAATGTTAAAGCGATCATACTTTTCCTTTTATTTCTTTCAATTTTTGTAGTTATATAAACGAAACGTTGGAAATACAACTCATCAATGTCAGAACAATCACGTATCATACACAAAGTAGTCACAGAATACGATTGTGTTAAGAGTCAAAGTAAAATTGATGAATACATTAATGATCATTCATTACGTCTATCAGAAGCACAAAAATGGTTACTAAAGGTTTTCTTTTTCAAAAATTAATTAGTTATTTATTTATTGTATAATTATTCGTTTATTAGAAAACAAAAGACGAACCCAATGTACACTATCTTATGTCGAGCATAGAAATGCAATTATTAGCCAATTTATGCTATTCAATCAATGCTAAACAAACACTCGATATTGGTAAGAGTTGTTTGCTTAAAAAATGATTTATGAAATCAACATGTCGCTTATAATTTTTTTTATCTTCTCTCTCTTCGTTTTATTCAGACTAGAATATTATGCTGACAATATGCGAATTCATGTTCTGAAACTGATAAACATCAAACAGCATTTTCTCTTCATTTATTAATTCATACTAGATAATGATTGAAGGTGAAATGAAAATCTTGGGTACGGAAGATTCGAATTATTGACCTCCGAATTACTTACTTGGTGCTCTGCCAACTAAGCTATGAGATCTGACAGTTGACCAAAGATTAATTTCACTTCAATCACCAAGTTTATTTGAAACAGTTAGTCGCCTTGATGAATTTGCATAGTGTAATAAAAAGACGGAGATTATCTGAGAAATGTGATGAATGTATTCACATAATACATTTCAAACAATCTGATCACATATTAACTTGTCAAGACATTTTATTTAAAGGATGAAAATAGGGTGGGGTAAAATAAATAAATTAAGATAATTTTGTGACCTATTTCTATGATATGTTTAGCTATAGATGAAGAGGGTCGTCTCGCACCAGCGTTTATCACTGTTTCACACTGGACTTATTTTTGAAGCCATTTAGGTACATGTTAAGATAATATAGGATTTGGAGAATATAGGGATGATAAAGGAGGAATAATACATTTTCACACCTCCATTAGCATTAAAATAAGATAAAGATTACATCATAACTATAGGGTTTGTCAGTTTTCAGTCATTCAGATTGTCGAATGCAATAATAATGTCATAGATTGAATAGACACTCCAGCTATCTTAACGAGTATAGCTGGCTAATGTTATTTACAGACATACAATATACCCTACAGTACATTTGGCATATTTATATGTTGTATTTTAGTTACAATGCCAGTATTTATTTTACTACCATTTTATGTATGGTTTTTAAAATTAAATTCAATGAAAACTAACTTTTAATTGATATATATTAAAGATTTAAAAACTGTTGAAAAATAATTTCCGAGCAGTTTATCAATAAAACTTAACAAAGACAAACTCTTTTCAGCTGGCAGTGACTAGAAGTGGAATCTTAAACTCACGTTAAGTACAATTCAGAACTGGCTCATCAGCTGGATCTTAGTGAGCGGATCATGGTTTCATCCATACTTGATATGACCATATTCTGCATAAGTTAACCTACACATAAACGTTTGCATTTCATAGCAATTCATGTCATTAAATAACTTGACGATTTATATATACCTTTATTTGATAAGTTTATGTGTTATAGAATGAATATATACATATATGGAAGTAGTATATAAATATAACGTGTGTATACCTTTGTAGGGGATTCGGAATTTTCATTAACTCCTTAGGTATTGTACATCTACTGACCTAATGATTAACATCATCTTCTGAAAGAACCGCATGTGTTAGGGTGTGCAGTGTACCATCCCGGTACCAAAATGCTACTAAGGTTAAAATAAGTAGAATCAGTTGAATAAACTAAATATCAACTAAATAAACTTCTAGCTTGCTTCCGGATGCTTAAGGTGTTTTAAGTTTTGTTTTAACGAGCATGCATCCAAGCAGGCTTCCACGCCATTTTGCACTCTGTTTGTGCTGTTTAACACGCACATACTCAGAGTCCCTAGTAAAGCCATACTAGCTAGATAAGTTGTACAAACTTTTCCCCGTAATAATTATTATCACATTTATTCTAATTAAATAGATTACTGCTTAGAATATATTCCTGAATAGCCGTCCTTTTGACTTGTATTTCTTTATCGGTACTTACACGCTAGGTAAGGTACTGATTAAGCAGGTAATAGAGTACATCGAGTTAAGCAGGGCTAGTCAGGCATTACATAATAGTAACACATCTAGCACCCCAACAGGTGTAAAAATGTACCAACTTTCAGTAGAAATCATGTAGTCGAAAAGAAATTTATTATGCTAGCATCAAAAGTAACTGAAATTTCCACTTTCAAAAACTACCGAATTATTAATGGTGTCTTGTTTTTGTGAAATTCTTACTGGTATTGGTCTTTGTACATACATTTGTCGAATTGGTGTGCAGGAATGTATTCTACATCTTTTTTAAAAAAATATTTTCTTCCTTTAACAGGAGCTTATACTGGATACAGTGTATTAGCTATAGCTGAAGTGTTACCTTCAGACGGACGTGTACTAGCATTGGAGATAACAGATACTTATCTAGAAGATTACTGTATTCCAGCATGGCGACAAGCTGGTGTGGAGTCGAAAGTTGACTTTAGACTTGGTCCAGCTATTGAAACTCTAGGTAAGCAGTTAACTTACAGACACCTGAATCGCATTTCATATGCACGTCTTGTCTGTGCTCCCCGACGTTAACTCTATTACAAAGGAGAATGTTGTTCAGTTGCTGAGCTACCTAGTCTGGTGGCCATATTGTAAGGTGATCAATAGAATTCGATCAGCACTGAGGAGTAGACAATATGAAGTTGGTTAACCTTCAGTGGCTAATCAATGTCAACAAAACTGTCCAGGTGCGACTACAGTTAGTGGAAGCCCAAGTTATTTGTACGTGTTGCACATTGAAAATGAAGGTGTAAACTTAAGTGAAATTCTACACATAAACATCTTTTATTAAGACTAAATTTGAAACTAAAGAATAATGATTTCAAGCGTTCGGATAAAATCATACTATCTCACTATGAAGACAGCTTCATTCACGAAATATAACATCTTGAAACCAGATCTGTCGTTAACTTATGAAAACTATCTGTTCACACGTTGTGTAACAAGCTAGATTAGTATTTTGGTAAAAATAAGTCACTACTTGTTCTCTCTTGAAGGTGACAACAAATTTTGAAGGATACAGTTACTGTTATGATTTCTATTACTATGATTATTACAATTCTTTCGTATAGATGTTGATCATTCTGTAATCATAATGTTATAGAATAAATTTTCAAAACTTCAATACATTGCAAAACACTTTGTACAGTTTCTTTATTACCAAGGTGATATTCATCACCGACTGATATCAGTTGAATAACCATTGAAAAGGTTGCAGCACCGGAGAGCTGCTTCATTCTAATTTTAATCTTCTTACCAGTGTGTACTCCATGAGGGCTCAAACCCAAAATCTTCAAGTTAAAAAACAACCACGTCAACATTGTTGTCAACCGATTCCCATACTCTCCAAGGTTATTTACATTCTAGAAACTATATAATTCATGCATACATGCATATTCAAGGTTACCAACATCTAAATATTCGATATTATCATCTGCAGCTGTATAATAGCATTTAAATATGTTTAGTATGCATAGAAAATGTGAGTATTCTTTCATTAATAATTGGTAGTAGTTTTTGACCATGAAAATAACATAGAAATGTAAATTAGAACAGAAATAGGAACTGGAAATTTTAAGAATTAAGAAGTAATTAAGATCAGTGAATGGTAAAGCCACTTCTAAATGCACAATTCCAGTTTCACTTGTATTGCCAGAGCTTCAGCAGTGCAAAATAAACTTTTCCTCACACTTTTCGCAAGATTAGTTGGTACTCTGTGAATTGATGCAAACGAATCTGTTGCGATTGTGTACCTGCTCTCAACCAAATGTTGTAATATGGAGGTGTTAGTTGATCTGCGTTGACCCTAACTGATCGATTCTGGAAGATGTTTGTGTCAACACTGGATAACCTGCCTCTATGTACGGCCTATATATCTAACTCTACAGGACCAGGTGAATTGACATATGGACATTGAAGTGGCTAAAGGTGACAGTTTGTTCGGTTAACAAATATCGACATTTTTATGCATACTAACTATATTGTACAGCTGTAGAGGATGAAATCACCGAAAACAATTTTTTTCGCTTAAGTCTTTATCAACATTTTCTCTGCTCTTTCAAACATATGAAATCATTTTATATGGGTAGGATAAACTGGTCACATTTAACAACTTGATTTATCAGCAACTTTGATGACAATTAAATAATCTATTTTTAAGTTGTAAATTTACAGTCGAGAATGCAATGAATTCAGTTGAACTATTCAAAGAATACGTAAATGATTTTCTATATCATTTTGAAAAGTCCAAGTTCACTAAAATTCTTGTGGATCGACAAACATATAAAGTTTGTTTCTATGATGTATTCGGTCAACTTCCAGATAATCATTATATACTCTACAGTTAATTGATCATTTAATTAACAGATGCTTCCAGTGGACCACAGCGGGAGTGAAGTGGAAGAACGTGTTGACCACTTCACTTACTTAAGAAGTCGTGTCATTCCGATGAGGTTAGTTGCTTAGAAAATCTCAGCCTACATTTGAAAGATCTGTTTAGCGCCATTCATGCTACCAGAGTTATATGCAGTAGGATGAGTATACTGTGCATTGGTTCAATATATCCACTTGTACAGCTGTCAGACACGATCACTGCAAACAGTGAAACCATTATTTGGTCAGTTTTTAGATTAAACAAAGGCTATCAGGCAATAAAGGTTCGTAAAGGAATAAGTTTTCGTAGTTTCCAACGACTAGGATAGTGTAGACATGCGTTTTGCATGGTAAGTCATTACCTGCTTCGATGAGCGATGTTGGCCGAATTTAGAAGGGGTCGAAAGAGGGTCAGACAAAGAAATGAAATCAGTCCATGAAGTCACTGAATGTTGGTCTGAGCCATATGGATGGGTAAAAGGCTACTAATTTGAATCCCCGAGACGATAGAAATCAACCTTTACAGCCGATAAGATTTCGACATCTGTCAAGTTAAATTTGTGACTCTCGTTGCCTATGTGTATTCAAACCAATGACGGTGTGTCATGGTGTTTTACTGCTGATTAGCATTCATGAATTTGTGGAGTAATCCATTGTTGAGAGTAACCGTCATAGTGTTGTGAACAATCTTCACAGTTAATTTTAAAAATTGCATTTACTATGTTTTGTCTTGTTTTAAACATTCGCGTAACTTTTGAACATCCATCACCCCTTTATGATTACACCAGGTTGGGTGACTGAACACCTACGATATAATATCAATTGTCGGAGAACATGAAAGCATCGTTATCTTCCTCAAGAAACCTAACCGTTTCCATCGTTTGAAAATTATGCATCTACATAAAGTGACAATTGAATTCAGCATGAAAATTAAATTATCGTGAAACTGAAAACGTCAGTCTCTGGCCCACTATACAGATAATAGCGATGCATTGTATAAGTGCTATGAATCAGGTTGCTACAATCTGAAATAGGATTGACAGGAAAAACAGACAAAATATAGATAGTAATGTGAATGAGGAGATAACGACAGATGAAACAGACCAACTAAGGACAATAAAGTCTCCAGGCATTCCAAGATAATGAATAATGATTCATAGCGGTCGATCATCACATGTTATAAAGGATTTCCAAGTCAAGCCACCTACCTCTTATCTCGTGGTCCAGATCAAACGTCAGTAACTCCACTAATCAGTGTAGCTTATCAGCCTAATCAATTTTAAATTTTGTCAAAGGTAATTCATCTTTGAGATGATGGAGAAAAATTGTAGCTCACAATGAGGATGGCAGTTGTTTGGTGTTCTTCAAGTTTTGAGATTTCTACTTCAACTTTTCATCACCAGGCTAGGCGGCATTATCTATATCTACTTCGTATAAAATATTGTGTCAAGTTAGATTATAGCTGTGCATACGAAATATATGTTCAAACAAACCTAGATAGTTTCGACTCAAAATACCGTCTACTGACTAAACTTCTCTTTCTAACACTCACTCTACACGTCAATTCAACACTGTTTTGAAGTTATTTATGGTCGAATATGTGTCATCTTCAAATGTTATCCACCTTCATAGCTGTATCTTGTAATCATTGAGTACGACAGAAGATAACCACTGTGGCAGAATTATCTGTTGTCAACAGTTGTACTACAGCCGAGGCTGACAAAATTTGAGTTCCAAATTTTACATTTTTTATTTATTCGTCAGCATGTCTTACATTCTGTGTAGGTTATCAGTTGGCAACCACATGACTTAGATGATTCGGTAGCACTTCATAAGGAAAAATAAGTTTTTTAGCCAGGCTAACAGTGGAAAGCATCTAAAGCATGAAAATATTGTTTATCCTGGATTAAATGATGTAATTCAAGTTCATCCTTATTAGAAACAATGATTTGTAATTCACTGAGCAAAACTTTAATAAATTTGACTTATAAGAGCTGAATGATCACATTTAACTCTATAGTCATTTATGACTTGGAAGTTGTACTTGCTAAAATTTACTTACCAACTTATTTCTCCAATTACTTGATTAGCATCAATCTGAAGATTTGCTGATTTATACTGTAATCTTATGGTATGATGATTTTTATTGCATTCTTATCTAATTTTTTTACTGTCAGAAAATTTGATTGCTAATGGAGAAAGTGAAACATTTGATTTTGCATTCATTGATGCTGATAAAGAGAACTATAGTAATTATTATGAATTATGCCTCAAACTTATCCGACCACGGGGTATTATCGCTGTCGACAATGTAAGTTTATCTTTTTTTAAGTTATAGGAAGTTTTTGAAAAGATCTGAACTTAAGATTGGATTGTACCTTCCCTAATTTGACATGCTTTACATACATATTGTTAGTACTCCTAAAGTAATTGGCTTATGTGAGAAAACCAACATATGAAGAGTACTAACAGTAATTGTATTTTTTTAAATAAACTACTACTTTCATAATCTTAATAACCTTGACATGAAACATGTTAACCAATACGGTTAAAGGTAACATTCATGTACGCTTATTCGGAATCAGCTTATTTATGAATAACTTGATCCAAACAGTTTTGAAATTAAAATTATCTTCTAACTGACAGTCACAAGTTCAACCAAGTAGATATTGATGATATAATTTAATGAACGATGGACAGCAGTGCTGTTACGCTCAATAGGACTCGAACCAAGTACTCATCACTCCAGACAGCACAGGGTTATCCAGCAGGCTGATGAGTCACCGGAGCCATATCTTGTGTAGTGGGTATCAGTTGTTATTTGCTGGTAATTGCAATCTCCTATCGATAATTATGCTGAATTGAATTGACCTCTCTCAGTTCGCACATCACTAGCTTCTGTACGGATGCCTCAATATCGGATTTCGATGAGTTCAAAAGACTGAGACGCTTGAAGCTACGAAGAGATAACCATTATCTTATATTCATTTAGTTATAAAATGTAAAATATTCCCTGTAAAACCTCTTGATGTTACGCAGAATGCATTCAGAATAGTTCAGAGATCATCATGCAGTCAATTTTATGCGCTCTAATAGAACTGCTTCTGTTTCACGTCCATTAATTAAGGAAGAGAGTGATTTAGATATTAACTATGCGAAGTAGTGTTGGCAAACTGACGTTTTCATGATTCCTCAGTCATGATTGACTTCCATTGTATATCACTTTTGCGGTGAACAGTATCTTCATAATTGGTTATCGAATTAAACACAAAGATGGTAATAGTGGAGAATATTTGTAGCTCAGGTGGATGGTCTTGGTTGTATTGTGTTCTCAGAGAACACTCTTTTTAAAAACTCTATGAGTACATGTGATTGTATATTAGATTAGTTTATATGAAGTGGCACGCAGTGATAAGGTATCATTCACGAGATGATGTCTTAGGCACAACTCATTGCTCTTAATCACATCTAATATTTGGAAATCAACAATAAATTATGTTAAAAATGATGTTCAGTACGTGATATTTAATCATTGTATGTTCAATCAGATAAACTGAGCCGTCATAGCGCTAAACTTCTAAATGTACATCTGCTGGTGCATGGTTTAGACGTGGTTGAATGTCTCGAGTTTTTTCAACTTAAGTAACTGAACTCTTGGTGCAACTTTTAAGCAATAAAATTCAATAATCTTATATAATTATGTTCACTTATATAGTAAAAAAAACAACCAATGCGTACAGGGACTATTACTACTAACTGCCTTTGCAGACTAAAGTAACTGTGTAGGAGTAAAACTTGGGCATTATGGTAGATTGTAACTGTACCAAGTCTGAACTGGCGACATTACAGGTGAGAAGTTTATCCTTCTTAAAGAAAAGAGATAATTCAACGAAAAGAATTTTCTTTTTTGACGATATCATTTTTTAAAGCTGTATAATCATATCTATATGTATCACAAACATATAACAGTCCACTGTTAAACAGTAAGGTATAACTGCATCATTAGGCTAGTGATAAAAACTGAAATCAAAAGTGGAATGTAGTTGCACAATGATCTTTTAGACAATGGAAATAATGAGAAAAGTAAAGAGTTTGATAAGGGGAAAATTGTTGTTAGATGTGAAATGAGAAGATTAGGTGTCTACTTGATTTATATAACGTAGGTGAAGAAAGAAACCAGTGTTTTAATGAAGGTTATAAAAGTAAACTAACTAATTATAATGAAATCGAAAAAATTGTGAAAGTGTTGACTGTGGTAAGGTAAGAGATTCAACATATTTCTTCCCCATGCAAAAATCAGGCTTGAACTGGTGAATTGCCAGTGCTTCTGCTGTGCACAATTGTCGAAAGTGCACTCCTTTTAAACTATGCTTTTTACTCTGTAAACGACAGTGATGGAGGACTTTGGTGCTGCTTTATGTCCAGAGTTGACCAAATGTTCAAGAACTCAACTGTTAGTTGATTTATATTCTCCCCTCGATAATTATGCAGGACAGTGCCCAGAGATATGTTTGAAAAGTGTTCGCTTTTTGCGGCATATATAACTAGCTCCACAGGATAGCCGGTTCTTGGGGATCTCTGTTGCTGTCTCCTTTGAAACTATCGTTCATACAGAAAGTCTTCTTTTGAGCTGTGAGTACTTGCTCCGTATTTTGTTTTAATTTTAAGTTCTCAATAAATCTGAATGGGTATCCATTCTGTATGAGAATTTTGTATAGTTTTTCCAGTTTACAGTCAATAGTATCACTCGCGCAGATTCTGCTGATTCTTGATGACAAAGAATGAATCAGATTCCTTTTTCTGTTGAGAGGCACCTAGCTATGGAAATTTAAGTATTGTCAATTCCACTTTGGGTTCCTATAAATCGGCCTCTGAAGGGAACCATCTGGTCTTTGTTTCAATAAGACATAGAGAAAATGAAATTCTGAGTTCTCTTCAAATTCTGATGGGACGTTGACCGATAGGTGATAATCCTTAAATTTTCTAACTACATTCCCAGTATCCATATTTTGATTAAATATGATAAATGTATCATCCACATACCTTTCATATAGGTAAAAACTATAAATTGTTCAGTAGAGTACATTATTCTCAAAGTTTGCCATAAAGCAATCAGCCAGAAGCGATCCAAGTGTTGACTTCATCGTTTTTTATTTGTAAAGCTAATTGGTAAATTTCAGTTGCACATTTAAAGTAAATCTTAATTAGTTGTAATTGTTTTGTGATTGATTTGAATAATGTTTTGGGATACCTATGTGAAAATTATTACCTTCGATGAAATCACGTAGAAAACAAATAGTTTCCGTGTAAGAGACATTGGTAATGAGCGAAAACATATCAAGAGAAATCACTCCCTTACGGAGTACGCTGGCATTATTAATTGAACCGAAAACGTCAGAATAATCCAATACGCTGTGCGAATTTAGCTGTTTTCTGACTGGCTGAAGAACGTCTAACAATCACTTGGCGATAGCATGGTGTAGTGGATGGTTCATATCTGAAATTAGACGTACAGGAAGATCTTTTTGTACTTTCGGGAGACCAAATAAGTGAAGAGTTACAGAACTAGATGGTTACGGATGTTCAAATAGTTCAGGGCTGATGATAGACTCATCCTTCATTTTCTTAAGAATATGAGTGAGCTTTCGTCCAATGGATCTGTTCACGAAACCACAGATAGTAGAGTCATATATCACTAAATTATCTGATAATCTCAAAGATTTCACTACTGAATTTGCTAAATACTGTTTTCAGTAAAAGATAACAACAACAAATAACTCGAGGAATACCAAACCACTGTTAACTACGTCGTTGGTTAGAAACCCTTTCCAATATTTGAATAACCTGGAAAACCTGAAGGAACTAAGCAAAATCTATGCAGTTGTAACAAAAGACTATCATAAAACTTAAGCTTAAGAACTTCACCTTAACATATCAAACCTTTTTTGATTAACATTAAATGAATAAATTTAGGTAAACACTGTTGAGCTCTTTTCAGGGTTGCTGACAGCATAGTATACTACTGAGCAACATCAGCAGTTAGGAACCACTCAAGGTGATCTGCAAATTTCGATAGCTAGCTAGATTAGAGTGACGTAAACACCGGAGGATCGTTCCACTCATTTAGGACCAAGCTCATCAGCTGTTTCCCTGAACAAACTAAGCTCACAGAGCTGAATTATTATTTCAGATCACCTGAATCTGGTTGGCTTCCAGGCTCACATGGACCAGTATATCCAAACCAAGATGATTAGTTTGCAAATTTTACGGTCTACGTTGACATTTATCACAGTTGAGTGCTTTTACAACTGCTCAACTTTGGTGTCAATAGAGCTTCCGCTGGAAACCATCTTGCAGCCAAGATCACAAGCCGTGATCTCTGGAGGAGTCAAATCTACAGTTCAGCCTGAATTGCTTTTTAACCACTCAAGTTGTTCAGTAGTAGTATATTTCACTAGTTCATGGCATTTGTTTTACAGCGCACACCTTGTGATCTTGACTGTAGGATGGTTCCCAACGGAAACCCTGTTTACACCACAGCTGAGCAGGGGAAAGTCTTAACGTGGACCATCCATTTCGTAAATCATCTGCAAATTGACCGTTCCTTTTGACTGACAGTATGTTAACTGAGGACTTTGAAGTTAGTTTTCTGCGTTTTCAAGTAGAATCTTCATTGAATAAAGAAAACTATCCTTCCAACTCGTCTTTTGAATGTTTTCAAAAATTATTATTCATAAATTCTGTTTGATAAAACAACTATTCAAAAGTGGAAATCTCTCATTTACCAAGGTATTAAACCTTTTAAACATAACAAAATTGCCTTCGACACTAATGAATGTTTAGATAGTTGTAACAACTTCAAATACTGACACGTCTTATCGAAAATCCACTGATGAACCATGTGGGTACTCACAGTGTCCATTCGCTTCAGTTACCAAAATCCCCTTTTTCACCGAACTAACTAACATATGAGTAATTTCATTGATACTTGTTATTTTCTTGTTGCTATACTGGATAAAATTACTCGACCTCCGTTGTAAGATGGGCTCCCATATAGATGCCCCGATACCCCTTAGTGGATGATACTTTGGCGTTTGAAGCGATGAGTACGAGGTTCGAATCTCAATGGAAACAACATCGCTCACTGCTGCGCAGTCACATTCAGCTGACGAGTCCCAAGTAGGATGAAACGCGCGTCCTGTATCTCACTGCCAGCCACCAAATATACTATATTGCGTGCGCATTGATAACGCCATCAGCCTCTTAGTCTTTGACTTTTTCAATGTACAATATTTTAATTTTTCATCATGTGGAGATTCTCGTATACACCATAATTTTTTAATTATTACAAACTCATATGGGTACTGAAATGCTTTCTAGGAAACGTGTGACGGATCAGTGATATTTTATTGAAACTAGACCTGCAACAGAAAACTCACTTGCCATTATGTTTCAACAATCTAAGGTGGAACAAGCTGAGGCTAACCAATGTAAGGCTGTAAAATATCATCTGGTTTTCTTTCTCAGTTAATTATGAAAATTATTGTCAAAATCAAACCTTTATCTTATTCAGTTTTCATCTTCGAGAAACATAAAGAAGGAATAAGTATGATATGAAGTGAATAGTCTTCTCAAATGCAAAACTTACCCCTACTAACTCTAAATTCAGTTTCATTATTTCATTCTATCACGTTTTTCTGCATAAACAGTACCCATGTTTTCCATTTCGGCGTATTTTCTACACTTCAATAGTTATTTTATCTGACTAAAATAGAAACCATTGTATTTAAATTATTGATTTGAATAAGGAACCAAGTGTATTTGTTGAAATCCGCATTACTTGACACCCTTAAATTTATGTTTCATTAAATGTTTATGAATTAATTTTTACTTCACATTCTCTTACATTTTTTCCACCAAAGGTTCTTTGGTCCGAACTTGTGATTGATGAAAGTGATCAAACCTCTGAAACTATCGGTGTGAGACAAGTGAATGACTTGATAGCTAAAGATAACAGAGTACGAATCTCTTTCCTTAATCTTGCAGATGGATTGACAATTGTTGTGAAAAAATAAAGCGATAAACATCTGCACCCAGACAAAGATTTGGTAAAACATGAATCTGTGTACCTTTTTTGCATGTGTTACATGTCTTAGATTCTTAGTAGGTGCGCTACTACACAGCAAAATTTGAGTGAGCGTTTTTCGGCATTTTGATCATTATTGTGAAAAAAATTTTCTATCTTTAAACAACTTTTACTTTACTGTAGTTGTTTAGTCGTAAAATAACTATATTATCTGATATTTCGTGTGTATTTTAAATATAATTGACAACCGATTTGGGCGCATTTTGTAAACGTTGGGCGAAAAACCTAAGAGGGGTACAGTATCTTCCTCGCAGTGCGTATATTGTTTGTTTTATTTTGAAAATACCGGAGCTTTTGGAGTCAATCTTGATTTATTGTGACGTTCAGTGTTAAATTTCTCCTCGTAAATCTGTATCAACTCTGAAGTTACTGCTTCAGCGTACTCATCGAAGTCATCGTGATTTTTCTTGCCTCCATAAAAACATCACTAGTAAATGAACTGATTAATTATCCTAAAATAGACCACATCTAACAAATGGGACTTTTTGAGACAGAAAAACTCGTCAAACTTCACTTGCAGGTCAGCGAAATCAAAACCTCAACGCTGTAGCTATTGTATCTACATAACGCATAATGTTTTCTCCTTAAATACTTTGTGGTAGTAAATGGCGCCAACTAAAATTTTTGCCAGGCACTTAGCCTATTCTTCTAAAATTCCCGCATCACTTTTGGGTAGCTACGTAAGGAATTTCCGGGAGAGTCGAAAGATATAATCTATATCTAACGTACTGATGTTTATTTTCAGCATGACTTCCATAATTATGTTGCTTATATTTTCACGTATTGTTTTCAGACTTGCAGATGTTGAGAGGGTTTCAAGTAAGGTCATATTAATACAGAAATTGTCACAGGTCCTAACACTTTTACCTATGTAGGCATTGTGTATTTTTACTTTGGTTAGCAGTATTTGACTGCTGCACACAGGTGTCATTCAACTTCTTGTCTTCTGCAGAAACAACTTCTAAGGTGTTACTCATGTAGTTGTCTTCCTAGAGTTCTCACCCTTATCAGTTATTTCATAGTTGCTTAAAATGAACAGGAGTAACTTTTACGAACGTCAGTAAAATGCAAACTGGTGACAGCCACTGAAATTATGGACTTTTACATGCGACCGCCATTTTTTATATGTACGACTGTGTTTTCTCGAAAGCTTCCTACATACAGTTGGTACCATTGAAACAGCATAACTCCAAAAAAACAAGGCAGTACCAAGACTCACCTGCATAGATAGAGATTTAATGTGATATTGGTGCGATATGTCAGCAAGAAAGGTAAGTAAGTTGCCACACTCCATCTCGACAAATCAAGCGAAAAAGCATTAGGATGAAAGATAAAGAAATACAGAAAAATCGATCAAAAGCAGTAGAAATCAGTGGAACAGAGGAAGGAGGGATGAGAAAATGCCGAATTTAGCCTGATAATTAAGATGAAAGTAATGTGTATATACACCTGCGCCACTGACATCTATTCTGAGCCATGTCACCTGGAGTCTGCAAACACTGGTTTCTGTTATCATCTGGGAAGTCCAGATTTCCTTACACATCTCACAACAAAAACCAAGGATTTCATCTAGTGTTCTGTTTTAGTCTGGCCGCCTCTCATCTTTCTGCAGCCTGAACCTACTTCACCTAACATTGCGCCACGAGGCAGACGGCGACTGTGAAAGCATAACACATGTTCCAGTAACCTCAGTCGATCAAGATTCATAGCCTCACTGTTCAACTTTACTGTCCTCCCTAGAACTCTAGACCCGACATCTGCATCACTTATGTGGTGACACCGCAACACATGGCCTATGCTACGAAACCAGCGGTAGTCAAATAACTGAAACCTTCTAATGTCCGTTACCTTTAATCGTCATGCTTTGCAGACATGCAGCAGAACAGAAAGAACTGGAGTGCAGTACACTCAAGCCATAATAAGCAATTGGATATCACTATGGCTCCATAAATGGTGTAAATTGATGAAAACTATAGTGATTTTAACAATTGTCTGTTCTGCTGAATCTTACTACGATCAGTATTTCAAATTTTTTTAATCAGCATTATTACCGGTTACAATGCACCTCAACTGAATATATCAGTCTACTGGCTGTAAACTGATTTATTCGACGTATGATGAAAGTTGACACAGTTGCTAAGAGACCTAAAAAGTAGGTTACATAATAGGAGTTTCAGTAATGAGTCAAATATTGTTTTTACTGTTGTAGTCAAGACAAAATAACAACTCTTATGGTATAATCATTGAGCCCATATTAGTTGTAAGGCAACTAGAGTCCATGAAAACTACACAACAGAATGATATGTTAACTTTCATGAAGTCATTTATGTTAAATCTAACACACATGAGTTTAGAGTAACGAGTTTCTACAATCTATGAAGTCTAATTTACTACTGTCTCCTGTAGTGTTTGTTGTCTTCAGTTATGACGAAGTAATGTGGTCTACTAGAAGGTGGATACTATCTGAGTGACGACAAGTGGGAGGTACAGCTGGTCTTAGCAGGACAACGCAGACCAGGAATTTGATGCCGTTCAACCTAAGGAGGTACGGAAAAACACTTGGGACTTTTGGGCCATCTTCATAAGTAGTAGTGCATGACCTGCTGAGCATACCATTTTCATGAATACACTCCTAATTAGAAGCCGTCCACAAGGTCAATGACTTTTGATTGACCTGGGAAACTGGGGAAGATCGAGAAAAACAAAATAGCCAACAGTATTTAGTATTTCTTTCTTTGTACACATGAGCAATAAAGAAATCTGTTGCCGTGTGTACTTAATATCATTTTAGGTTTTCTTTTAAATTATTTCATTCTCATTCTACTTTTTAACCTGTTGGCGGAAAGATGTCAACTTTACAGGTTTCAGGTTTTTAATACTTTTTAGTTTGCCGACTGAGGAGTCATTATCTTGAATATCTTCATCCTTATCGATAAACGTTCAAAAATAATGACATTTTCAACTTTGAAAAAGACCACTTGACAAAAATATACAAAAAAAATAGGTAATTTAATGATGCATATAAAGATATGAAGGGATATACAACACTGTGACTAGTTCTGGAACCAACCAGCGACAATCAAACAACATCAGTGTAGAACCTCGTACACGAGTGCATCGGTCCAAGTTGCCATGCCACCAAGAATTTTCAATCAGTGTTTCCTATCGTCTCGGTAACCCGAGCCAGTTAGTCTACACCAAAAGTCAGAGACTTTACCGACTGGTTCCACGTCTTGACCTCCCTACCCTGAGCATTTCTCTCAACTTAATCTAACTTCTTCTAGCACCACACGTCAGAGTAGGCGGTGGTTTGGCAACCGTAGCATACTTTTGCAAGGCATCTTAGTCGGTGAAGGTTCACAAACTCAACGACTGACATGCCGTCTTTGCCTAGTACCCTTCACCTGACCTCAACACTTCTAACACGGTGAATCCACCATAAGTCAGCAATACTACGAAGATACCTGTTATTGCAGAGGTTGACCCGATCCTGACACCACTCTTGTTCCTGAGTTTTAGTTTAGTTGATTCGACATATATATAAACACTTTTGCATGTAATTCCTAACGTGGAGACGAGCATCTCTCTGGTGAGACACAGCAAATATGAATAGTAACCAGGTTTCACTATCCAAAGACTCTCAGACATAGATTTGCAAGGAATAATTAAAGCACTAGCGAATGCCCTGAGAAAAAATCTTTTTTAAAATTCCAGATGTTATTTTGAAGGTTGTCAAAGACCTATGCGATGACTACTTTAAACAGGCGGAAATCGTTAGTTGTGTAAGTGAACGCATCAGGTTATCGTCTCAATCAGAAAACCTATTCATCGGAGGCCTTTTATTAGCCTTTAGCCTACATTCACTAAATGGTACTCAACTTTTATCTGAAGTAACACTAAATATTTTTATAATATGATACTTCCTAAAGTTGATGGTGAGAGTCAAAGCCAAGTTCACTTGAAACATGAATTAACTCTGATGAAGACTACCAACCAAACAGTAAATCTGCACGGATATACTCAGAAAGAACTTGAAGGTCCCAACCACTCTGATGATGAAAGTAGGAGTCTGAAACTACCGCTTTCCATTCAGCGATGTAAAGATTTATTTTGTGAGTCTTTTTGCGTAATGTTGTATATTCTTGTTAACATTTAACTTAGGTGTGGGTACATGGGTGGAAATTAATTCAGCTTCCATTGGATGGCTTATGCTTCCTGTTTCGTACCACTCTAACCAACAGACGTGGACGACCCATATGACAACAACAAATACAGTAGTAAAAGAAGAGCAGGAAATTGGAAAACTGTCCATATTTTTAAAAACTATTCAGCAAAGAAGCTCCAGTACACCGTTAGGCTTATCTCCTTATGGCATTTCATAGATTGACCGATAACTAAAATGCATCACAGTGAAAATCACAAGAGACGTGAGTTTCTAATTACATGCCCATTTCAAAATGGTGAGAAACACATAAAGTACAGTAGGATCAAATATCAAATCAATAGTGTAGTGCTGAAAAGGCGTACCATAGTTTTCAGCGTTGGGAGCTGCTCGTAGTCAAAGAGAGAATCTAGACAATAATTTGCGCAACACAAATTACATGGAGAGTGCGGCTCAGAGAGCACAATACAACCAAGACCATCCACCTGAGCTATAAATATTCTCCACTATTTCAGAGTGCAGAGATTTATGAGCTAAACATATTACAGCCAAGTTAAAGTAAATATACCTAACACTCTGCACACGTTGTTGTCATAAATCAAAATGATGGATGATCTCCAATTAGACCAGATAAAAGTCAGTCTATTCAATACAAACAGCAAAAACTATCCAACAACTAGATCTTTATGGAACCACCTTCAAGTGAGTCTTAAAGTGTCTAATCAACGTGCAGCCTATTTTGATCCTTTTCTCTTAGTTCTATGGGTTTGTACAGTCCTCTTTTAAATGAGTCAGCTGATGACATTGATACCATTTCTTCTAGGAGTCGGCTCTGAGAGTTGGTTACTCCACCAGTACCTCACAGCGACACCGTCCGTCCTTGGCGTTTGCACTTTCCTGCTATGTTGTCCGAACTAGTTGGAATAAAGACAAAAGATAGATCTAGTGCATCGATTTCCAGTTAAGATCTAAGATACAATCTCTATGTATTGCTTAAAGTGACCTAAGGCTGTTAGCTTCAGTTGTTCTACCGTGCTCTATGGTTTTTACATCACTCCCCAGCTAGAGGAATCCCACAATTATCGTAGCTGTTGCAATATAAAGTCTCTGTATGCATGGTTACACACTTATCAGCCTTGATAGATACCATTCATTTCTCTGACCAGGGTTAATAATTAAGTGCGTCCACACACCATCGTCACTTTATTCTCACCAGTTTTACATTAGTATAAAGAAACATGAGATATTTCGTGATGCTCGTTGGTCCATTTATGTATAAGTAGAAAAAGACCAAAGCCTGTCCGTTTCAGTCTTCCCTTATGTGTGAATTTCCAAGATGAAAGTTAGGAATAGACCTTTACTTTTTTCTCCTACCATCAATGAACTGCTTGACGCATACAAGTATAGTGAGAGCTACTTATTAGGATGCATATTAGTAGATATAAAGAGAAATTGTTGTTTGCTCCTATCGCAGAATTTTATGTTTACTTTCAGAACGACGATCATTCCTGCTGATAGTGTTCTTAACTTTATTGAATATTTGCAGAATGCTGGTTAGAAATTCCAGGAATCTGAAGTCCACGCTTGTCAATCCAGATGCCATATTTATCAGGTGTCGAAGACGCAGGAGCCTAAGAGTCACGCTGCTAATCCTTCCAACCTTATCCGTGGCGATTACCTCTGCCATTGCTGGACACCACGACAGTATTTTTATTTCGAGATTCTGACTATGACTATAGCTTTGCGTCTTTGCAGATGGAGAGCCTCTAACGATGCCTTCCTTACCAAACACGGCCGATTCACGGTAGCTCTTACGTTAGATGATCGTATCATGACCAGCGTGATTATACATCTAAGCTACAAATATTCTCCAAAGCTTCAAAATGATGAAGATGGTTATATGACACTGAGAATACAAGTCCAGACTAGAATGTAATCGGCCAAGGTATTAGAGAAAAATCTCTGGGTACATGTATTGCTGACCAGATTCTTTCAAATACTTTCGTAGCATTTATTTTTTATAATCATTTGTTTTTAAATGAAGGCATAGTAAATTATTAGGAGTGTTGTATTCTTCTTCAATATATCTCTTCACAAGCATGCCAAGCAAGCAATCAGCCTCAATACTTCCGGTTCAAGCAGTCAGACTCAAACCAAATGGGATTGCCTGGTAGAAGTATCCATACACGACCAGACTCCTTCACCCTTTTTACTACAAGCTAACTTCATGGTTCCACATTACCACTAGGATATTGATCAACGTCAAATTTATCTACATTTTCCATATCCCAATTTGAAAACACTTCAGTCACTAAAAGTTCCAAGTATATATCGAATGCGTGAGGGGAGCTATGAAGCACAACTGAAGGAAGCGTTACGAAAGACAAACCTTAAAATATCAGTGTAGGATAAAACTGTTGAGTCGTCCGCGTGCTTTGTATCTGTCCTTAATAAGGCCTCCTATTGTTACAAATATTATCAAATTTTATTCAACATCTTTTCCGACTCATTGATATAAAAGTGAATGTTACAAATTACAAGTGGTTCAAAAATACAAGACACATCAATGCAAATGCTTCTTCGTTACTATTTGAAGTCAGCAAGTCAAGGCGGTAATGCATGAAGAGTGTTCCATAAGCATAACTCAAAGTAGGATGAGCACAATCCTTATTTGTCATATATGCATTAATTAGATAGATATGTGAAATTACTGTTTGACGACGACTGTCAATCCATCACCAATGTTTAACAGGGAAACTCTCACTCTTCTGTCTCCAGCTATCAAATCATTCAACCGTCTTATACCAATAGTTGAAGAATGTTGATCACTGTCATCAATCACACGTTTTGACCAAAGCACCTTCAAAGAGAAATTCAAAAGTAGATAATAAATAAATCTAACATTAAATCGAAGTGGTCGCCAACTTTCTTCTTTATTTATCTGATTATTTCGCGAATAACTGATTGATTTTAAAGTAGTTTTCATTACGTATTGCAACATAATCAGGAACACTAATCGGAAGCAAGTGACATGCGATTATCAGGTGTCACAGAAAACACTTTATCACTCGGCCACGGTGTCACAACGCCGTGATCCTCACTTTCCTGCATCTGTTAATAGCCGATATTGTTTGGCAATGCTCTGATGTCATCAAAGAGTATCTATTATCAGATGTGATCAGGTTAACTCCGAAAGTCATGGCTTTCCACTAGAACTTCCAGAAATCCCCCCTCGAAGTGAGTCGCTGATATTCATAGTACTTTCATTCATCTAATCGGTTTGTAAGAAATTGATTTTATTATAGTTTTCGCCCGGGGCAAACCTTTCGGCTCTGGGTACACTGATGAAAAGTCTCGAACTGAGTTCAATCAGCTATCCTGTACTCTTTGGTCTTCAGTGGTTCTCCGTTCTGTGTCACTGTGTGATCAAAAAACCACACTAAGAGCAATCAGTTTCCACAAAACAGCGATTGAACTACTGTCCCGTACTTATTACTGGCTATTGAAACTCTATGAATGTCAATTATTCTTCATAACAGGTTGTTCGCAAGTTAAACGGCTGAAATCATATATGTAGCAAATAATCCAAAGATTATTAATTCTAAGCAAATGATAAAATATTGAGCAATGAGAAGAGTCTTATTCCAGGTATCAGTTTTTGTACCCTAATACCAGATTAACACATTTGCAAGAGATGAACAATTTCTCAAAGTTCACTAACTATGATGGTAAGAAACGCCACACTTTGTGCTACTTTCTAATAATGAGTAGCGTGATTCATGTTCTTCCATAATGTTTTCTTGTCCACAGCTTTGACTGTTCGTTTCGGCCTTAATCGTATTTTGTTCGTCATGTGACATTTTAAGATATTAGTATCTTTCCTGGTTCGTGATCATATCGAACTTCTTTCAGTTGTCCCCAGACGCTCTATTTTGCCTTGAAAATCGATATCACGTCTTTTACTTCTTCATAGAAAGTCGTGTGTCTCTATATTCTCCTCTGGTTTACCTTGGGCACAGCTTTTCTGTTTACGTTGTTGACGAACTTCCTTTAAGGTGCTTTTAAAGGTGATAATCTCAACAATACCTCATTATTCAACGTCTTTCATAGATCAGTCACTATTGCTCATTAGTACATTTTCATGACTCAGAAAAACCCTACGTTTTAGATCTTACGCGTGCACTTGATTTATTTCGTTAAGAATAACTTGGTCGTTTTAATTTCGAATTTCTTGGAAGGAAGTCCCTGAAATAAATTTGAAATTAATGTTCATAAGCAGTGACTAGCTTTTTATAAAATGTCGCAATACTTCTAGCCAACATACTGCACGTTATCGCAATAATAACTGGACTTAAAATCAAGGGCAAAACTATACAAACTGATCATTGTATGTAAAAACACTGATTTCACATTCGTTTACAGTAAACTGATTCATTTTACAAAGTATTCATTCATATGTTTCTGCCGCTTTACCTTAGTTACGTTACTGTTATACTACCTTACACATTTGTTTTCGACTGATTAGAAGATATACAACATTTTTAAAGAAATGTTCATCCGTGAAGTTGTTCCTGTGAATAATAATAATAATAATAATAATAATAATAATAATAATAATAATAATAATAATAATAATAATAGTGATAAAAATGATTCCTAATGAAACCCAACCGCGAAATCAATTAGCTTCGAGGTGTGTATTAGTTCGTCACCAGTGTGTAACCCATGTGGCTGTCTACACGTTAGTGTGATTACCACTGATCGAAATCTGTGGATCAAGTTTTGCAATGTGTTCACTAAACGAAGTGACGTAACACTGTGGTGCACTGTATTATAGCGTTAAGTGGTAAGAGTCAATTGTCAGGAGGCCTTGGTTGATCTAGGTTAGGTGCTTGGTATAACTCATCAGCTAGGTGTATCAGCGACCGTGAGGAAACATGTTTCTTGGGTGATTGAAACCTGGATTACTCAGTGCTGAGATCAGGCTTAACCGCTGAGAGTAAATAATTTAGAATTTTCACACAATTAATAAAATTAGATAAACTTACATTGTCGATAGCGATAATACCCCGTGGTCGGATAAGTTTGACACATAATTCATAATAATTACTATAGTTCTCTTTATCAGCATCAATGAATGCAAAATCAAATGTTTCACATTCTCCACTAGCAACTAGATTTTCTAACAAGAAAAGAGTAGAATAAAACAATCAAAAGAAGTTAACTTATCACAAAATCACTCTTGCAAGTCATTAAGTACACAGTTATCAACTACACATTGTACTTTTCAATATGAATTATTATGAGCAGCGCTAATCTTACCAACTTTAATGAACAACTGATCTTGCTAAAGATAAACACCACAATAGCCTTAACAGTCGACCGATCTTCGTGCTACTTTTGCTGATAGGCGTTTTTTCCAAGCGACAATAGTTCACTCACCTATGTCTATTGGTATCATCGTATTGTATCAGTACACCTCTGTGTATATTGTTTTCAAGCATGTGAGCATTTGTAAATATTCATGTGATCAGTCGTTGAAATTATTAATTATTTCTTTAAAAAGTAATTATATATCAGGACCAAGATACATTCAAAAACTAGATTGTGACTTCAGAACAGATTATTCTTATCCGTAACATAAAGCATATTTGTTTCATCTAACGAGCTTACTTTGTTTTAAGAAATAGTTCAGTAGTTCTAGTTTAGTCGGTTTATTAGATGTCACATAATACAGTGAAACAGTATTATCTACTGGATAACTTTTCAGGTATAATTTATTGCCCGTATTCATATCTGATATGAACAAAATACACTAAATGTATTAAACTGGAATTACATTCTGCCACATTGCTATAGGTTTATGCCATCAGTAGTTTATAAATTTAGATGATAAAAGTTCATTTATTTCCTTATGAATGCTGAAACTGAAGTTCTACTTAAATGACTAACCATTTTTCCCTTAATCAACTACAAATGTAATTGAATTCAGAAACTGCTATCTGTAAGGAATATATAAATAGGTAGATAGATAAAGAATACATGTATAAATTGAGTTCCAATAAAATATCTTAGACTAAAATGAGGCGGACTACTCTGTATCATACTATGAGCCATTAAATACACCAACAATTAAAACGCACATTAAACAACTTTCAATTCACGATAAATAGTTCACCTGAAACACTTTCACAAACTGTACATCAATATTTTACAAATAATACACAGTCAATGAAGGGAATACGCTATTTTTTTTTTTGAACAATATTGAAGTGAAAAGAAATTTGAAACCTATTTATACATTGTGTATATCAAATCAGCCTTTTAAAACCAGGGCGATTTAATTCATGTTAAGAATTTTAACATGTAAGAAATTTTCACCGTTTAGTCGATAAGTTGATATACAGATCGAGTGAAGTCACATCTTTTCATCATATAATTAGGCAGATCTGTGGAATGAAAACATTAGTCAAATTTTTTAATCACTTTTAGAATAAGGATTTCTTCAAGAAAAGGAATATCTACACCTGTATTCACAAACAACATATTATCTTTGAACATATTCACCGAAGAAATCTGTTTTCAACAAACTCATTCTTAGACTGTACATTCATATATGCATGTATGACATTTAAACTCTGTAATCTATCCGTGAGGAAAATTTAACTTAAATTGAAATAACAATAATGGTGGTGGTAATCATGTTGCTAGTTGGTGACTTAAATAATAAGAATAATAACGAAAAAGAGTTTATGTAAGATTTTTAGGTCATTCATAGGACGTTTAATAGATTACAAAAGGGTGAAAACATTATTACTATTATTATTTTTCCCTTGGGTTCCTAGTGGAACATAGGGCTTCAGTAGTATGCCTCCATTACGCTCTGTTCTCTGCAGTCTTTTGAACCTGGCTTCACGACTGCCCACAAGCTTCCATTTCTTCTTAACATACCATCTCATGTCACCCATACCTCGGACGCCCAACTCCTCGTTTCCCCTTTGCATTCCACTCGAGTACTCGACCTGGAGCGTGATGCCCCCAATCGGTCTTCTCAGTGTATGCCCAATCCATCTCCACTTCCTTCTGCATATTTGTTGGGTGAAAGGTTCTTGGTTAGTTCGTTCCCAGAGTTCCTTGTTGCTTATTCTCTCTGACCATCCATCTGATCGTCAGTATCGAGCGTAGGCAGTTGTTGATGAATGTCTGTAGTTTGTTGGAGGTGCTTTTCATGACGCGCCAAGTTTCTGAATCATATAGGAGTACTGACTTGACATTGGTGTTGAAAATCCGGATCTTGTTCTTTGTGCTGAGTGCAGTAAATCTCCACACTGATTTCAGATCAATGAAAGCCTGTCTTGCTTTTCCGATCCTGGCTTTGATATCCTCGTCTGTGCCGCCGCCTGTAGTTAAAATGATGCTGCCTAGGCAGGTAGGTGAAAGAGGCAACTTCCTTTAGGTTTCTCCCGTTCATGGTGATTGGTGCCTCTTGTTGTTGATGCTGTTGTTGACTGAGTATCTTCATCACCTCCGTCTTCTCCACATTCACTTGAAGTCCCGTTTTCGCTGCCTCTTCTGTTAACTTGTTAGTTTTCGCCTGTAGATCTTCGAGTTTGAGCGACATTAAACATAAATCGTCGGCGAAATCCAAATCTTCTAGGCTCTTTCCATTGGTCAAACAGCGTATGTCCATCTTCTCGCTTCATGATCCAGTCCACCACAATCAAGAAGATCATGGGTGATAGTAGGCAGTCTTGTTTGTGAAAACAAAGTACAGCCAATAAAAAAGGTTTTAATTATCATTTGACTATCTGCGGTAGTTTGGCAGACTAGTTCATACATGGTGCGGACATTCCATGTCCCCATCCTTACTTTCGTTTTCATTGAGAGAAGACACATTGGCCGACTGGCTTTCCGAAGGCTTTCATCAACCGGCGTCATTTCGTCTCTCCGATTCCAGCGAGGAATAAGTTTGTTTTTATTTTTTATATTTTGCTTGTGCTTTGAAGTTTCTTTAGCGATTGAATTGGTTTTACGGGGTAGGGTTGTTAGCCCTATGCCCAACCTTCCCTCTTTGTCCGGGCTTGGGACCGGCTAGCAACCAGTGAACTAGTTAACCAGGCAGACTAGTATTTATACTGGGTGATGATTGAAGGTGAGATGAAAATTTGGACCACGGCCGGATTCGAACCAGCGACCACCGGGTTTCCGACCCGATGCTCTACCTCGTAGCTCAACTAGTAGAGTATAGAGCCGGAAACTCGTTGGTCGTTGGTTCGAATCCGGCCGTGGTCCAAATTTTCATCTCACCTTCAATCATCCATCACCTCGTATAAAGTTGCCATTACTGGACAGACTAAATGCAGTAACACCAGGAACTATTACATGTAAAAATAATGCTGACAATGAATATAAAAACGTACAAAGAGTAATCAAACAAAGGAAGAATTGGGAAAGACAGAAAGCGAAACAAGTCAAGACAGGTCAAGGTAGAGACAAAGACTATATGTACTACTTTTGCATATAAAAATCAGGGTTCAGTCGATGAATAGCCAAAATTTCTATCGTTTTTAGAAGTTGAAGACGGGGAAACGCGTAATGTTTGAGCAAATTCGATAGACAACCTTAAAATAATTGTTTGAGCCGGTTGAATAGTTGGAATCGATAAAATGTTTAAGGATAGAAATTTTAATGCATTTCATTTCATACTTACAAAACCAACCTGAAAAACGTTCTTGTATATGTGTTGATGGCAATCTCTGAGCTACGGCTAGTATACCCTATTCCACAGAGACAGGTTAACTATTAGAGGTGGCCTATCTGGAGATATTGTCTTTCATACATAAGGAGAACAACTTTACAATTGTTAAAGGTCACATGAAGTTTGGTTGTAAAAAATGTCCTGCTAACTGATCTCGAAAAACAATTTTTGAGGATGAATGATACTATATCACTTTTAAATTCCAGATTCATGAAAAAAGCCTTTTTGGAAGCTGAGTGGATGACTAGTTTCGTATATGTCCAAAGTCGTTTACACAATCCCTCACTAGAATTCAAAACTACATAAACTACGTCATCTATATATAGTCAAATAATTGACAATTTTTATAATCTTTAGTCTGATCATCAGGTAAAAATGTATTATGTACACTTATTAATCTCACCATAGCCGGAATATGTTTGTATTTTTTAAACAAATGCTTTTGGACTTTTTGTCACATTCTATGCTATACATCTTCTTCGACATTTTATTGCTTCATCATTTCAAACTTTCAGGTTGATGGATTCATTTTTATACCCACTGAGTAATACATCTTTCGGGCATTAGCTGCTAGACTGTTCATCTTGTTATCCAACAATTTCTCAAAGTATATGTAGTGCCCAGTAAACTTGGTTATGATTTCTATCTGTTGTAAACTTTATATTCACTATTGACTGCAATTGAATGATGAATAACTTTTAATGTACTCGAGAAATTTTGCCCGCTGGACTTGCCTACTAGAGTGCTTGGAATAAACATGTTATACTTCTACCACTGCCTTTTTATTTGCCACGTTGTGGTTGTCTAAGACAAACTGTTCAGAGTGTTAGCCATAGGCTCCTAGGTCCAATATATACTCCTGTTGTCTGATTGGTTTCAATTAATTTTACTGAATATAAATACAGTTGTACAGCTTTTAGGAATGACATTACTGGAAAGCAAATTTTTTAAACGTATCTGTAGTTAGTATCAAGTTTGAGCGCACTTCGAAAATGTTGGGCATTATTTTAAACATACTTTGAGTCCACTTGCGAACTTTATGGAACTTCATTTTGTCTGTTTATTAGAAATGTTATACAGTGAAATAGTATCATTTGCTGGACAACGTTTCGGACATAATTTACTGTCCATATTCATTTCATGAAATGGACAAGCACATGGTGTGAACATAGACAATAAATTATATCCGAAACGTTATCCAGTAAATGATACTATTTCACTGTATGACATTTCTAATAAACAGACTAAAATTGAACTAAAATCCACCACACTGCCTAAGTTTTACTCCGATATTTGTGGAATTTCTCCCAATTTTCCAGTATTCTCTATTAAAAAGCGCATCCTGTTACAAAAAATAGATGCTACATCGAAAAACATTCTAGAATATGCCCTTCGAAATCAAGGTCAAGTGATTCTTCATAGAGGTTAGGCGTAGTGCCCTAACTTTGGGAATTCAGGGACTTTTGACTAATTCAAGCGTTAATTTCGTGTCGATGCATCACGACACCCTGAGTGGGGTCCGAGAGATCAGGCAACTGAGCAGCTTGAGATATTATCAGATATGGCTCAGAATAGAAACCAGTGGCGGTCATACTGTAGCTTCCTCCTATCTTCTGTTGCTGAAAAGTGATGAATGTTTTGTTTCGAATGTGCCTTACTGAACTGCCCTTCTAATAATACTATTCTTATTGTTTCCTTCTTACTAATCCACTTCCTATCGTTTATTTCTTCACATTACTATTATACTAGTTTGTGTGACGCATTTTTTGGTACCTTGTTTTATCATGTTTGTGTTCTAATAACAATAGCAATAATAAATTTGGGTTATTCCAGGAAGATGTCGCGCATTCCTAGGTGCACCTGATGGTTATTTAAGGGTTCTACACAAGACTTTCAAAGTGCCCCCGAATTGTTGGCTGGAAGGTTGATCATAAATAACATTGAGTAAATACCAGTAATACTTAAGAAAACCAAAGTTCATCAAGAATGAGATTATAGTACCATGGATAATTACTACTACTGCTTACCCAAAGTGTCAATAGCTGGACCAAGCCGAAAGTCAATTTTCGACTCTACACCAGCTTGTCTCCATGCTGGTTTACAATAGTTTTCTAGGTAAATATCTGTTATGTCTAAGGCCAATACACGACCATCTGGAGGTAATACCTCGGCTATAGTCAGTGAACTATAGCCTGTGTAAACTCCTTTAAAAATATAAAGAAGATAGGCAAAAGGGTAGATATTAAGATATTACTATTCAACTAAACGAATGTGTATGCAACAGCTGTAACTGAGAAAACTGTTTACAAAAACATAAAACCACTCCTCACTGCACTGTTTCTATAATCTCAGTTTCGCACAAAAGTAACAATTTACTTACATATAGTAGAGACAATTACACAAAATTATACAACTCCCAATTCAGTTCTAGACACTTTTCAACTATATTTAATTCTCAAATGAAATGTATGCTGAAAAAGACAACGAACCTATTAAGTGAGGGCTAATGATACCACTGGGCTATCCAAATATCGGGTAGGTGAAACGGTTGAAAGTTAATTGTTAGTTTTATAAAATGTATTTTTCATCATTTCTGCTTACAACAATTCATCAATTTCTTCATATACTGTTCAACATAAATTAATGCTACTTAGAAAATCCCTTAGATTTACAACACCTTGAAGGCTTTAATGCTTCATTATGTACTACCAATGATTGGCAGGTTCGAGTCAAGTCCTGTGTGGTAAAGCTGTTTAAGGAGTGTATTATTTTAGGAGACAAGAAAACTAGAAAACTTTTACTATAACCAGAAAATAATTTAAAAAATTTCTTCCCATGTTATGTATTGTTTTTAAACTTAGCTATAAATTAATTAATCCACCCTTAGTTTTCTCGAGTAGTAGTACTTCGGAATGAGGAACGGTTGCTTTGTTTTCATGATGAGCGACAATACTGTCCTAAGTCTTGTAACCGAAGACGAATCCATCTTTACGGAGGGAGCATTTTTGTCTCACCTTGTTTCCTTCTTTAGAGTCTTTGAAGGTCGCCTTAAAGGAGTATGAAAAGCAGACGTACACCCACTACGTTGTGCGAGATTCACATTTGCAAGGTGACCGAAGAGCCTACGTCAAGTTTGTTTACTTTAAGGCTAGTGAACGCCTGTCAATAGATGGTGTAGTGACAAGAAGGTCAGTTCTGTTTGTTCTCATTATATGTTTCATTGAATATCCTTGAGTCATCTGACCCAGTTGATTAAGCTATAGGTAATAATAGCAATAATTAAGTACTGCATATAACTCAGATAAAAGTGGGAGCTTTGCATACGAAAAAGACTTTTCAACCTTTACTTATTTCATGGCTTTAATCTTCAGTGTTTATAAGCGTCCACATCTCGTCCTAACTCTTTCTTTTCATTCATTTCCTACATATTATCAACTACTTACTTGTTTCTATACCAGTTTGATTACAACTCATTCATTATTATGTTACTCAACTCGTTATTCAGACAAATTACGTCTTCTTGTTTAGTTGAATTCATTAAGGGAAATCAATTGCTTCAAATTGATCACCCTCATTTAGTTTCTATGCTATTTTGAGTGACACTCAATAGTCTTGCCAACAATCCCCTTTTATGTGATGAAAATTTAACCTTGGTGTTGTTACTATGCCTAAGGATTACTTTGCACTACACAACAAATGAGGCTTGATTTTTAAAACTGCTGAAATCGAAGTCAAAATTTGCTATCACACTTTCCATTGCACTTTTATTATAAATCAAAATAATTCACGATTTCCATTTCAAATTTACGAACACGGTGATATTAAAACGTTATTTGAGTCAGTCTATCATCTATCGACACAGATAACATACAATACAGCACAATCAAGGTTCATATTAGTACTGGGACAAAAAACACTTGGGAGTTAAACAGGAAGAAAACTTACGGAGTTAAGATAATGGTGCTTTGAAAAAATGACTTCCCAATAGTCGTTAACAAATTAATCTTGAGAAAATATTGTCACTGAAATCAAATACTTATCTAATTAACATATCCAACATTTCCTGTTTAAACACATAGCATTTATGTACACAACTACAGTGTATCGCATCTGGGGTTCATAAGAGTCAATGGTTGAAAACTTTCATCGATGAGGTTGAAATTCTAGTCTGTGTGACAGGTAAATGCATTTCATTGTTTTCCGGGCAATAATGTTATTGCATTACTTCTATTTTCATGATATACTTATTCCATTTACAAAATAAACCTACAAACTCATTCAGAGATAAACTTTGTCTACGTAAAGATCCCATCGAACTAATTAAGGAAAATAATTTAACCTACTAAATCCCAAGCAGCGACGGTGACGTCAAGTACATAGGTTAGTGGAACATAGGAATTTACCTAAATATGGAATGGCAGATCCCAATTAGATCAATAATCTAGGAAAACATTCAGCTATTGCAATGTATACATTAACACACAACCACACAATAGGGTAGGATAAAGCCACTGTACTTAAGTCCAATATAATTAGGTGGAGAAAGAGAGAGAGAGTGATTACTGAATCTTTGTTCATCGAATCAACACGCAACATATGTGGTAGAAATGACGCAACATCTATACCAGAGATATGGAAAATTTTGTTACCAATCAAAACAACTTATATGAAGTAATATAACTATAAAAATCAAATGTCGAAAGTAGTGTGATCACGCATTGATATGATTATGATCAGTGATAATTTATGCTCGAAACGTCATCAAGTAAATAATACTAGATCACTGTGTGTTATAAATCAGATAAACAAATCTAATATGGAATTAAATTCTACCATAGTGCCCAAGTTTTACACCGATATTAATAAACAAAATTTCATCTAGATACTTTCTTGAAATTAATTTTAAATTTCCGGAGCAAATAATTTTACACTTAACACAGAGAATTATCGTTTCATATGTGCTATTCACATTCAGTGTAAAGTCATTGAATTTATTTATTGTGTTCATTGCGTACTCGCAATTCATTTTGACGAATCCATACTTCAACGCTTCATTGAAATTGTGATTAAAGATGATCATATTTATCCATATATATGTGGTATATCTGTTTTTTACATTTTTAATATTGTAACAACAATTTACGTTTCATTCATATATTCAATACACTAATTGATAACTGGTCTTATTTAATACCTTTAATACATCATCATCATCATCATCATTATCAACATAGGACCAGGCATTACTGCGTAACGGTCCGAGTTGCCACACCTCATATCAGCACATCAAGTAAAAAGGTAGTGAGGTGAAGGATGAAGATAAGTGAATGCAGTCAAAAGAAATATAAAGTATGAGAAGAAAGGAAAGAGGAGTGACAAAATAGTGAGATTCGGTATAGCGTTGTTAAGATGAGGATAATGTGTGTATACATCTGCGCCACTGACTTCGGTTCTGAGCCATATCACCTAGGGTCTCCAACCACTGGTTCCTCTTGTCCCGTGGACCCCAACCACCTAGTCTGCATCGTCCTACATGGCTTAAACCAACAGTCAGAGACTTCATACATTGGTGCCATGTTTTAGTCTGGCCACCTCGGGCCTTTTTCCAGCCTGAACCCACCTCAGCCAACATTGTGTGACGAGGCAATCGGTGACTAGGCATACGTAGTACGTGTCCCAACCATCTCAGTCGATGAAGGTTCACAACCTCGTCGACTGACTTACCTCTTCTCCCTAAAACTCTACACCTAACTTCTGCATTACTCACATGGTGACACCACGGAATACGTCCTATACTACGAAGGCAACGGTGGTCAAATACCTGTAACCTTCTCATGTCTTCCACTTTCAATGGCCATGTTTCACAGCCATACAGTAGAACAGAGCGGACTGCTGTGCAGTACACGCGACCCTTAATAGACAAACGAATATCACGGCGGCGCCATAGGTGGCGCAAATTGGCAAAAGCCAATCGAGCCTTTTGTATCCGTGCAGAAATCTCATCGGCAACTAACCCACCGGGTTGATCCTACTTCCCAGGTAAGTGAAGTGGTCAACACACTCAACCACTTCACTCTCTATTGTTAACCGCGGTACCGCTGAAGACCAGTCCTGGAGCAAAAATTTGCATTTGGGTGGTGAAAATCGCATCCCAAACATTCTCAAATTCCCACTCAAAGTGTTCAGAAGACTCTGCATCTTGTCAGCGTCTTCACCTAACAGGACTATGTCATCTGCATATTCTAGATCTAAGGAAAATTCACCTGTGATCCGGTCAACGTCTTTGTAATTAGGTGACGAGAGGGAAACCTCCATAAGAATATCTATGATAAAATTAAATAAGAATGGGGATAGTGGGCATCCTTGACGGACACCACTTGATGAGTATAGCTCCCTGGACAACTCACCATAGGCTCTAACATGCCCACAAGTGTTCGAGTAGAGAGCTTTCAATAAGGTGATGTACTTACTAGGCACGCCTTTCAGTGACAGACACTGCCATAAGACTTCTCGATCAACGGAGTCAAATGCCGCCTTCAGGTCGAGAAATACAGCTATTGTCGGGCGTCTGTAAGCATGCCTATGTTCCAGGACCTGGCGCAGTGTGAATATTTGGTCGATACATCCACGGCCAGGTCTAAAGCCTGCCTGGTTTTCTCGGGCTTGCTGTTCCCGAGCTCCACTCAGGCGTCGGAGAATTATAGAACTTAGGATCTTAGACACTATGTTTGTCAGGCTGATTCCTCTGTGGTTATCACAAGAGGACTTCTCGCCTTTCTTGAAGACTGGGATGATCAGTGACTTAGACCAGTCGGAGGGGATCGTATTTGATTCCCATATACTGGCTAACACTTCCGTTAGCCTGACTAAGAGAACTCTACCACCATTCTTGTATACCTCAGCAGGTAGTCCGTCTGGTCCTGCTGCCCTTCCCCGTTTCAGGCTACCTACCGCTTTCTCAACTTCTTCTAGTGTTGGGGGACCTGTCTCTATGTCCCATTCAGGGTCCGACTGGATAGCGGGCAGCGCAATGGTGGCTGGAGGCCAGTTAAACTGTTCCTCAAAGTGTTCTGCCCATCGTCCCAGTCGCCTTCCCTGCGAGTGAATCGCCGATCCGTCCTTCTCCGCTATAACCTCACTAACTGTTGTTGACCATTTCCCCCCAGTCTCCTTAATAAGTCTAAATAACTGTCTACTGTTACCG